CCCCAAAACCCCAAAACCCCAAAACCCCAAAACCCCATGCCTCACTAGTTTGGTTGAAATCAGGAAAATTGAGGGTTTATATGATTAATTACTCTTCGAGCTTTAAGACCATAAATCTGTTCAAAAGCTGTCTTAAATCACCGTTTTCCATCTGGAGCTGGTTGATTTTATCCTCCAAAGCTGCAATTTTTCTATCCTTAAGATTGTTCTCTCGTAAGGTTTCCAAAGCAAGAGAGTTCTTATTTCAGCTAGCTGACTCTCATTTTTTAGCAGTACCCATTTTCTTAGAAGGGGTCTGAAAATCCTCGACTGGAACTTCAACCTTAGAAGGCATGATCTGATTGCGATAGTTCTCTCTTCTCAAAGGCTTGATAAGGGAGCTGACCATTTTGTCTCCCTTACCACAAGCCATGGGTGTTTCCACAACAATTGAGTCATTAGACTATAGGTTATTCTACTTTAGAACAGATGGAAATACCTCAGTTCTTAAAACCTTTGAAATAACAGATAAAATTGGTAATCACTTACGTTTTCATTTCAAATGTCCAAGGTAGTGACTCTGTTAGAGAAAGTATCGTCTTCTTTAGGTGTGAATACACCGTCAAATTTGTTTCTCTTCGACTCTAACGGCTCAGTCTCTAGGTTGGTGCCCTTGCCTCGGCGATATTCAGTAATATCAGACATTTTCTTCACAAGTTTGAGATCAATTATGGGGTTTGCGACCATATCTTTAATCCCTATTAATCCGTTAAATTAAATTTTCTTATAAATCAAGAAAACAGTGCTTGTACGTACTTTGAGACCTGTTGAAAGGCTGCTGATCAATATCTACCTTTTTCCTGATCTTTCTGGAGCCATATTTTTGCTTTATAGAGATTTCCTTCTTATATTCACTGGAGCGATAGTCATTAGAATTGCATATCGAAGCTGAACTTTCTGATTCGCTGACTAATCGAATTGTACTGGAATTATTGGAAACATCTAAAAGCTTTTCAGAGTTCTCCTTCTGTGCAGCAGAGATTATGGAAACGCTTTGACTTTGAGTAAAATTCGCAATTGCATTGGTCTCTTTATTTTTCATAATATTGTTAACAGAACTTTTCATAACTCCTTTTGACATTTTTAAATATTGTCCATTATTTGATGGCTAGCTTAGTTCGGAAAGGGCTTTTCATGCCCATTCTACCAACAGAACGGAGACTGTGATTCGGCTCTTTGACTTGAAATGTTTTTGAAGACAATGAAGATACTTTCTTCAGTTCGCTCTGACGACTTGTGCTCTTATTTTTAGTCTTAAAAGTTTTATTCAGATTTTCTTTTCTAGAAATCATTGGCTGAGTCTTCACCTGATTCCTTGCTATATTTGAAGATTAGTTTTGATGATAAAACTGGATACTGGAATTTTTATAGGTCATTTAGAATAAACTCACTTGTCTCCCATTCTTGCTTATCGACACTTTCTCAATAAAAAGAGCATTGTTCGAAGAGGTTATCAACCAAAGGCTCGTCCATTCTTGAAAATCTCTTGACCCGATTGTGTCTAATATGATGGTTCTTAGCAAATCTCTCAGCTTGTGGAGGCTTCTTCCCAGCTCGCTTATATTTCATAGTAAAATTCATTTCTAATTTAAAAGTTCAATATAATATTCTTTCTTTGGGGTTTTGGGGTTTTGGGGTTTTGGGGTTTTGGGG